GTTCCCACCCAAAACCAACACCGTGCACCAATAAGTGAAAGCCGGCCGCTTTTCGTGAAAGCCGGCCGGTTTTCGTACCTTGGCCTTCGGCTCGGAATGGCCGGTTACGTAAGCCGGCCGGTTTTTGCCAAAGCCGGCCGGTTTTCGGTCGCCGAAAGAATTCCAACCTTTTAATTATAAAAGCCGGCCGGTTCTTACGAATGCCGGCCGGTTTTCGTTAGCAGCGCCCCATACCGGAATTCCTGAACACAAGCCGGCCGGTTTTTACAAAACTCGGCCGGTTTTTATACGCCGAAGGATTTTAACAAAAATCCTTTACGAAAGCCGGGCGGCTTTCGTCAACGTCGGGCGGCTTATGGTCGCCGTAGGATTTATGGAATAAATCATAGACAAACGTCGGGCGACGTTCGTCAAAGCCGGGCGGCTTTCGCCCCAGGCAGATATCTGTCCACTCCTTTGAACTTTAAACAGGCTGGGTTGGCCATAAAACTTATACATTCCAACATTTATATTGTTTACAAGGAAATAACATCAAAAGTTCAAGAATTTACCCGCGACGGAGTCCGGGTTAGCACGTGCATCGGCTTCCGTAATCGCATAGACCCTCGCTTGGGTCCTCCCTTGATTCACGGACGGTGCATTACTTGTGCTAGCTCCACCGTGCCCCGTGTTTGCGTGAGGTGCCGCTGTCCGGTTCCTGCTCATCGTGGTCCCACCACTCGGCCCGGCACTCACGGCTCGCCCAAGTTGCGGGCAACTTGACCTCATATGCTCCGTGTCACCACATTGATAGCACCTCGGGGGATCACGACACTTGCCCACGTGGTTTCTCTTGCAATTCTTGCATTTGGGCGCTGTTGAGGCTTGTGACCCCGGGTGTTGTCCACTCATTCCCGGGTTTCCTCTCGATGGCGGTGCAGGGGTTCTAAAAGAGCTCCCTCCCCCGTGGTTCCCTTTCTTATTGGAACCTTGGGAGCCTTGGTTCTCCCATTTCCTCTTCTTTGCCTCCTCGGCATTCCTCCACTTTCTTTCTTCCCATTCTTTCTCCCCCTTCAAGCCTTGCTCAACAACTTGACTAAACGTCATATTAGGCAATTGTGTTGCCCTCTCGCGTATGTCAAGGTCCAAGGCATCCCAGAAGTGGTTCACCATCCGGTTCTCATCACATATGTACTCCGGAATGAACTCGGCAAGCTCCCTGAACTTATGCTCGAGTTGCCTCACGGTATACTTGCCTCCTTGGGTCAAGTTGGTGTATTCCCTCCTCTTCAAGTTCACCTCGAAGTCGGAGTAGTATTGGTTAAAGAATTCTTGACGGAAGTTCTCCCAAGTGACTGCCTCACCATACTTCCCCTTGACGCCGTCCCACCACGTGGACGCCATTCCCTCTAGCAACCTCGTTGCCACTCTCAACTTCATGATCGGCGGCAGCTCCATGTCAAGAGCCGCTTCGTTGAATCTCTTGATCCACTCGGCCGCAATGGAGATGTCTCCCGTTCCATCAAACGGTTTACACCCCAAGTCTCTTGCCTCCTTGAGGTACTTTGAGATCCTTATTATCGGGACCTCGGTACCTCGATCATTCCGGGACTCTACATGTCCCCTAGAACCCACACGGCTTCCTCCCCTGGAAGCCCCTCCCAAAGCACGCCTTGCCCGGCGCCTTTGGCGATCCTGTTGGTATTGACGGAGCAGCTCCTCCATCCTTTCTAGAGCGTCATCATCGTCGCTCTCATCATCATCATCATATTCCCCATCATATGGGGTCTCAACCGGCTCGGTTCCCGGTTGATACGTCGAATCCTCCTCGGAATCGTATTGTTCATCGATTGTCTCCACATGACCGTCACTCACCGTTAACGAGTGACCCGCACGGTCCTGCCCACGAGACGCCCTCGATGCCCCTCGACTGCCATGTTGGGATCCTCCCCGTGCCTGGCCAGTCGGGTTTCTTCGAGTGACTTTACCGGTACGTTCCATTTCTGAAAGAGATAGAAGTTGAGTCATTAGACCCGTATCAGATGTCAAATGACGGATAGGCACTTAAAGACATCCCTTGGCTCAAATCGCCGCCATGCCAATTGTTAAGGGTACCATCTTAACAATTAGAGACCTTGCAACTCAAGTACCAAAAGTTCTATAAGTACAAAACTTTATGCTCATGGTTTTCAAAATCATTTTCAAAAAGGATTTTGAAGCTTCATTATGAAGTTTACGGACTAAGGCTCTGATACCAATTAAATTGTCACGCCCCGGACCTACCGGACACGTCAACAACCCGCCGTACAGTACGAATAGTCAACCGCAGTTCAACTCATCCATACTATACTAGGCGTCATGAATATCATTCACAATAGTACATCCATAAACAATCATAATGCAAAATATTTAATCAAGCAGCGGAAACTTTTAATACAAGTATTCAAGCCACACGTGGCAAACACGGGCATACAAGCCCTAATAAATATTCAAACGATATCCATGAGCAATATTTAAAATGTTTTCAAAACAGGAACGGAAGAAGCACGAACCACGTCTCCTCCCTTGAATCTCCCCGAAGCAACGGCGGCGGTAGCAACCTTCAAGTCCTACCTGAAACTGTGAGGTGGCCTCCCCCGTGAAGGGGAGGTCAGTACTTGGAAGCATTTGACAAGTACAATGACAACTATACTAAGTATAATCAAAGTTTCAATTTCCAAGACCCTCACATAGGGTGATAATATAATATAGGTCATAACCCGTGGTTACCCTCTTTGAAAATATACTTACTTTATATATAAAGTCAAGTAGTCGGCCCGAAGACCCATGTTTTTCTTTAAAAACGTTCAACCCTTTCCCCGTGACTTCAAGCCACGCCCATCTATATTAATTCACCATGCTAGAGGCTTCCTCTAGTCATGTTTTACCGTGCTAGAGGCTTACTCTAGTCACTAAATTCGGTGTTAGAGGCTTCCTCTAATCACCTTACATACTTTGTGCTGGAGGCTTCCTCCAGTCACATTACATTATGCTAGAGGGTTCCTCTAGTCATCCTACACGAATGCTGGAGGCTTCCTCCAGTCATTCTTCATCGTGCTAGAGGCTTCCTCTAGTCACGATACTAATTCGTCCTACACGAATGCTGGAGGCTTCCTCCAGTCATTCTTCATCGTGCTAGAGGCTTCCTCTAGTCACGATACTAACTCACTAGCAAATTCTATGCCTAGAGTTCCTCAATCTTGAGTAGCCAATGAGGCCTACTCCTAATGTAACTTAGTGGTTACCCCTTCCTACCTTAAGGCATCTCATAAGACTACTTAAGGTGCATCCTTCACAATCCAAGTCCTTAGGATTGTTCTATCACTTTTTATACAACATTCCCGATTAGTAAATTAAATACTAATCCATAAATCTTTAAACAGCCCAAGCTCCTTAACTCATAGTTATAAGGCTCATTCCTATGGATTTTCTAATCCGTATACGATTTAATCTCAATATCAAAAATATCACTTTTATCCATTCATGATTTCTATACATGAAGTAAAAGTATATTTTATCACAAAAACTCATGGTTTATACAATCATTATACCTTCACATTTATTATGCATCATCATACACAATTTCTCATAAATTTGTATGTTATGCATCTTCTATTCACAAACAATGATATTTTCATTTAGGCATTATTAATCATTAATAATCCATGAAAATCACATTTAATTACTTTAGGTAATCTTATGAAATTAACCCAAAGATTATAAGCAATATAGTCAGCCATCCTCACCTTATGAAGTGCTGAATTAGTTGCCTTTGTTAAGCCCTCCGATCAATCCCCGTTCTAAACCGGTTGAAAATGAAAAATCTGGGCAGTCAGCAAAAGCCGGGCGGCTTTCACGAAAGCTGGGCGGCTTTCGTGGTCTGCAACTACGAACAGCCTCCTACACTTGGCGGTTTCCGGCGGTTTCAACTCCTATCGATTCCACGACTCTTCTAAGTTAAATACCACCACTTTATAACAATATTACACACTTTTAAACGTGTAGAACTCATGGTTTAATCCACCATATGATTCCTTGAAAATCATACAAGATTAATACTAGTTAAAGAATAAAGGTGTGTTCTTACCTATTCTTCTTGCCTTTCTCCTTTGGTTTTCCCTTTCTATGGCTTCCTTCAAGCTTGAGGATTGTGAGGGTCAACTCTAGAGCTCTCTCCCTCTCTTGTGGTTGGCTTGTGCGGATGAGGCAAGAGGTAGGGGAGTAGTATCTCTATCCAATCACTCCCAAGAATAGTCCAAGACTATAACATGGGGTGTGTAGTTTTTGTCTCTAGGAGACTTCCTCCACCATCCATCCGCATCAACCCTCATGTGTTGTCTAAATTTGACTTATTTAGACTCTCCAAAGTGTGTAGGAACTTCCCAAATGGGTGTAGGAAGTTTCCCCCAATTATTCCTGCTATTTTCGGTAGGTTGGGCCAAAATAGCGCTCGGGTTGTCCAAATATTTTTATCAACTTCGGTTGGCATTTTATTGGGCCCCTATAATTATTATGATAACCCAACTAAATATTTGGTAGCCCATTCTCATATAATGGACCCGATATGTAATTTAATTAATCATGCATTAATTAAATATGCCAATCAATTACATGAATTTTATTTGCTAGGAAATTTCAATTCATATCCTCTTTAAATTTCAAGTACAATCGGGTGCGGTGTCACAGTTATCACTCGTATTTTCAGTGTCATGATAATATAAGCTATAAAACTTAATTACAACAAAAGTGTTATGATAATTTAAGTTTAAAAATTGAACATAAATTACGTACTACTACGTATGATTTAATTGTCACTCTAATCACCGGTTATATTTTTGTAAACGATCTTTATTTTAGTTATAAATATCCAATTATTTCTATGTATATATATGTATGTATGATAATTAATTAAGTACGCAAATTTGGATGATGGGTGATGATATGAAACTAATTATATATGCATGCATGCATGCGGCCCTCAGGAGATATGGACACTGTGTAGAATTTTCAAAAGGAACACACCAAACCACAAGAGATGCAGCGGCGGCGGCAACATGAATGAAGAAGCAAAGGAGGCACGGAAGCAGCGGCAGAACGGCGGCGGGTTGGAATTGGTGATGGGAGGAGGGGCGCCGGAATTGCAAGAGGACAAAAGAAGCCGCCAACAGCTAATGAGCCTATTCAGTGGGGCGGAGGACGGCGGCGGCTCGTCGTCGCGCTACACTACTACTACTACTACTTCCCTCACAAGTCTCTTGACGTCATCCCCGACCAGCTGCGGCTACGATGATCGGAGCGAGTACTTGTTCCCGGTCGATGCCAAATGGGATGAGCTCAAGTCCGTCGTTGGCCTCGCCACAACTGACCCTGATCACCGTCATGCCCCCGCCGCCGCCTGCTACACTACTCTTAACCACGCCCGCCCCTTTTTTTTCACTGCTTAATTAGCTTGCTAGCTAGCACCCTAATTTATATATCCATCATTGCAATTTATAGCTCATATCATGATCGATCGATAATTAAGACGGTTAGTACGTACTCCTACATTATTTTTGTAAACACAAAGACCAAGCCCCGACCTATCATTTAATTTAGTGCATTTTTTTGTTCTCTTTATTCAAACGAAAAATTAAATTTATTTTTCAAGTTGGGCAGCTGCAAATTTCTCCCTAGGGTTCTCTACGGGTTTTGGTGGGTTTGGTACCCGGCTACTATTTATTTAATCACTTGCCTAGTTCAAGGGACATTTGGGTTGCGCGAAGTTTTCTTCATCAACGATCATAGAGTTTTCGAGGATTGTCTTCTCTCAGCTGCAACGGGAAGGAATAGGATAGAAGGTCAAAAGGTGAGTATATATGGTGCAAACCCTGGCTAGAGGTCTTGCTTCAGTTACGATCGAGAGGTCGTGGTACAATGACCACTATGACGGCTAGCTATAGCTTAAGCACCTATGAGGGGCAACGAGAGTTGGATGACTTCACCTTTTGCCTTGTCCACCTCAATTCCTTTGGATGAGATCACATGGCCTAGAGCAATTCCTTCTTCCACTTTAAAGTGGCATTTTTAAGAGTTTAAAACAAAAGTTGATTTTAAGCAACTTTTGAGAACAAAAGATAGATGGTGCATTGCATGTAAGTAAGAATCAAATGAGTCCTCATGGATGGTGAAATCATCCATGAAAACTTCCTCAAATAGCTCAACATATTTAGAGAATATGCTCATCATGCATCTTTGGAAGGTGGTCGGGGCATTGCATAGTTCGAATGACATGTGTCGGTATGCAAAGGTGCCAAACGGACAAGTGAAAGTGATTTTCTCTTGATCTTCAGGGACTATGAGTACTTGAAAATACCTGTAGTAGCCATCAAGGAAACAATAGAATTTATGCCCGTCAAGTCTCTCAAGCATTTGATCAATGAAGGGTAAAGAAAACAAATCATTTCTAGTTACGGCCGCATTGAGTCGACGGTAATCTATGCATGCCCAGTATACCCTCCATCCATTTTGAATTCGTGTGGCCATGAGTTCTTCATGTTTGTTCTCCACCACCGTGACTTCGGTCTTTTTGGGAACAACTTGGGTTGAGCCACCCATTTTCTATTGGAAATAGGGAAGATAATTCCCATTTGTAACAACTTAATGACCTCCTTTTTACCACCTCCATCACCAGTGGATTTAGTCTTCTTTGCGGTTGTCTAACCGGCTTAACTTCGTCCTCCATCAAGATGTGGTGCATGCAAGTGGATAGACTAATGTCATTGATATCGGCTATAGTCTATCTGATCGCCAAATTTTACTTCTTGAGCACCACAATTAACCTCTCTTCTTGCTCCCAGGTCAATTTATTTGAAATGATGACCGGTAAGTCTGGTTTCTTTCTCTCCCAAGAACACATATTTCAAGTGCTCTAGGAGTGGTTTCATCTCAACTTTGGGTGCCTGCAAAACTGAAGGCAAATGTTTCTCTTCGTGGATGATTAGTGGATATTGACCCCGGTGGCATGAGTGGAAGTTGAAAGTGATTATCCAATTCCACCATCATTACTTATAAATTAGGGGTCAAAGCAAGTTCCAAAATATCTTCCCCCACATCATCCTCAAGAACACTTAACAACTCATCCTCTCTATTAGTTTCAAAAGCATTTTGCACTAGAGGATCAATAATATCAATGGCAAATAGAGACTTATCATTCTTCACTGGGGTATTTCATGGATCATAAATATTGAATTCAACTTTATCTTCATCAAATTACATTCTTAAAGACCCTCTAAAAACATCAATTTTGCTCTAGTGGTCTTTAAAAATGGCCTTCCTAAAAGGATAGGTAACGCGTTCTTATCATTCTCCATTTCCAAAACATAAAAGTCGGTGAGAAAGTTCAAATTATCAACCATAACTAGTACATCCTCTACAGTACCCTTAGGGTAAGTATTTGATCTATTCGCAAGTTAGATTACCACCCCGGTTTCATTTAGAGAGTCAAGCTCTAGTGATTTATACAAAAAATAAGGAATGACATTAATTGAGGCTCCTAGATCTAGCATGACCTTAGAAAAAATTGGTGCCCCCTAACTAACAAGGTATAATGAATATGCCCGGGTCATTGTATATCTTTGGGAGTTTCTTTTGAAAAACCGCCGAAACACGTTCACTAACTTTCACTTTTCGTTTCCTATTTAATCCATGTGTCCTTTTAATTGTGCATAACTCTTTCAAAAAAATTGCAAATCTAGGAACACCTTTGATTAAATTGAGGATATGAATGTTTACCTCGAATTTGTTGAAGGTTTCGTAGAGTTCTTTGTCCCCCCTTCGTGTTTCCCTTAGAGCCTCGGGAAATGGTGGAATGAGCTCATGAGTGACCCGTGGTGGAGTTGAGATTTGAGGTTCCTCCTCCGGTTGATCTTTCTTGACAACAAGCTCCTAGCTCGTCATCTTCCTCCTCGCCAATGTGGCTCTTTGCTTTTTCTTTAGCAATAACCGGTTCCTTGCCACTCCTCAATGTCACGGCATGGGCTTGTTGCCGAGGATTTGGCTCCATTTGAGACGGAAGCTTTCCTGAATCCTTAGCCTCAAGCCTACTCACCGCACTTGAGATTTGGCTCATTTGAGCTTTCCGGAATTGGACCATATTTTGTTGCATAGTAGAGACATTTGGGGTGAGTGCTTGGATCATGTCTTCGGTGGACATATTTTGGCCTTGTGGTTTGGGATACATGTGTTTATTTTGAAGGAATGATTGATTTTGTAGAGGGTTGTTTTGTTGTGGATTCCCTTAAGGATTGCCATATTTAAGATGTGGGTGATCTCTCCATCCGGGATTATAAGTATTGTCATAAGAATCATACCTCTTTTGCTTTTGGAAATTCAAAGCGTTGACTTTCTCGGGGTCATCTTCTTGTAGCGTCGGGCATGAGTCGGTTGGAGGCTCTTGTTGTGTACAAATGCCGCAGACCTTGATTTCTTGGGCTATAGGATTTAAAATAAATTCTTTAACAAAAGAAGTCAAGCCGGCAACTTGATTCTCCAGAGTTGATGTAGATTCTGCAGCGGCAACTCTGCGGGTCGAGGACCTCCTTTGTAATGCTAGAATTCTCGGCCAACTCCGAGATGAGGTTTCTTGCTTGAGAGGGGGGGTTTTGTTGACAATTCCCCCTCCGCATGCCGCATTAACCATGCATCTATCATGTTCTGCAAGACCATCATAAAAGTAGAGGATGAGGTCTTGGTCCGAGTACCCATGGTATGGGCAACTAGTGTCACGCCCCGGACCTATCCGGACACGTCAACAACCCGCCGTACAATACGAATAGTCAACCGCAGTCTAACTCATCCATATTATACAAAGCGTCTTGAATATCATTCACACATATAACGTCCATAAACAAACATAATAAGTAATACATAATGCAGCGGAAACATTGTTTAAAACAAAATGGCCACACAGGGCTATTCACGAGCACGCAGGCTCTATAGTAAAATATCCATGAGCATGTTTAATATTGTTCAAAACAGAATGGAGAAAGCATGAACCACGTCTTCTCTCCAAATGATCACCCGAGCAATGCGCACAGGTAGCAGGCTCGAGCCTCAACCTGAAATGGTGGTGGGACGCCCCCGAAGGGGTCAGTACTCTATACGACTATAAAGTACTGGTGTGGCAGGCATCTAATAGATATACAACAAGTATTTCACACACAATACCCTGAAATAGGGTGATAATATAGTCTAGACTGTAATCCCAAGTTACCCCTTTTCAAAATATATACTTACTTTATATAAAGTCAAGTAGTCGGCTCAAAGGCCCATGTTTATTACAAAACATTTCTGATGTGAGTTTTCTCGCACTTAAAAAGATTGTAATATAGTGGTGTAAGTACGAGTATCATCTCCACAGGGACGGACAAAAGGGAATTAAGAATTAACTAAATTCAGCGATTAAAAAGAAATAAAATAAATAAATGCAAGTGTGCAAGATTGATTGGAGAATTAAAATTAAACTAATGCAGATGGGCGATTAAAATAAAAGCTTGGTTTCTTTCTAATTAACGACGAAGGGAACAGGGATTGATTCCGGGGAAACCAGATTTCTGGCAGAACAGGCCTAAATACATGAAATTGATTTAATTGAGCCTAGCTAATCATTACTAAGTTCTTACCGCTCTCGCGGCGTAGAGTACAATAATTTAGAGGACCAGGCTGGTCTCTCATGCGACAGGATCCTAAATTATTGCCAAAATGAGCGAGCTTACGACCCCTTAATCGTTACTAATCTCTTAGCGAATGATTAAGTGTGTGTGAATGTGTCCTAGAATAAACTAGATCTCTCTTAATTTATTCTACAAGCAATTGTAATTCTAGCCGCGGTTCCAGATTACAAAAGATATCAATTAAATTATTCAAACACAAATTAAACGGCGTTCATGCAATTAAACCAACAAGAATCTAGCCATCAATCATGATTAACCCCTTCATCAATCCCAAATCCCTAATTAAACTACTCACAATTCATAACTGAAGAATCAACAGAATTGGGATGAATAGAAATAACTGTCATTAATTAAAAAGATGAACTTACAAATAATCCTAGGGTCTTGGAGTAAACAATCTTAAAAACGCAAGTAATTTCGTCCCTAGGCCTCTCTGTAATGTTCGTCACGTCAAAATATGGGTATGGGGGTCTCATTTATAGAAAACGGATGAGTTTGGGCTGAACTGGGACTAAAAAGGGGCTGAAATCCGCGTTTCGGGGGTACGCACGATTGTGCGTACCTTGCCACGCACGATCGTGCGTACGTGGCAGTGGCTTTCTTCCGTTTTTGCCTCAGACGCACGATCGTGCGTTCCCCTACGCACGGCGTGCGTCAAACTTCCGAATTTGACAAAAATTCCTTCATGAAAGTTGTAGATAATGAAGTCCTCTATCCACCCAAATTTGCCGAATGTGATTTGAATCATCCAATCAAGAGATATGATCAAAACGGTGGAAGGTGTCATTCTGAAATTGCAGCAGAGATCATCTGACTTATCCTCTGTTTTCACCTTCTTGCTCTCATATTATCGTAATGGTGTCTTCA